GTAAATTTGATGTAAATTTGCATCAAAGTTGCACTTTTTGATGTGTAAATTTACATCAAATTTACACTAACACTAAACTTACACATCATAAATCATAAGTATAAGTATAAATTTACATCAAACTTACATGTCAACACTGTAAATTTATATCAAACTTACACGCAAAAGTGTAAACTTATACTTGTAAATGTAAGTTTGGTGTAAGCTGACACCTCAAACATGTAAGTGTTCATCAAATTTACACTTGTGCATGTAAGTTTACATCAAAGTTACACTCCTGATATGTAAATTTAGTGTAGGTTTGATGTAAACTCACACCTCAAAACTGTAAGTTTGATAAAAACTTACACCTCATGTCCTTAAACATCACTGAAAATCAGAATGTGTTCACAGCAAATTGTTTTTTTTCACGGAAAAAAAATGTTTTTATACACAAAAGATGATTATTTTCAACTGCCCAATTTAGATGTATAGCTATGGAGGTAGCCTTGCTGGGCCTCCTCAAAGTTTGGGAAGGCACTCAGCGCCAATGACGTAGCCAAATGCAGCCACTACATACATAGAATATCATAGAATATAGGTCCCCAGTGAAAATATTCATCCATTTTTTCAGGAACACCGCCTAATTCCATTGGTTTTCATTATTTTCCATTGCAAAATAGTTTCTTTCTAATAGTCCTTCGACACCGGTCGTGGGGGGCACCCTTCGGTGAGCTTGAACAATTTTGTGAGGGATTCTATTGTGTTCTGGTGGATTTTAGTGGGGTGAAAAATTTGAAAAATATCCATTTATGACCATTTATGCTGCAGCACGGGTTATATGTTGATAATTCAAACAATTTTAGTGGGTGAAAGTTAAAAAATGATCATTTATGTCCATTTAGGCCGCAGCACGGATGATATTTTGATAATTCAAAGGATTTTGGCGTGGTGAAAATTTGAAAACTGTTCATTTATGTCCATTTATGCTGCAGTATGAGTGATATTTTGATAATCCAAAGGATTTTAGTGAGATGACAATTTGAACAATGTCCACTTATGTCCATTTATGCTACAGTACGGGTGAAAATTTGATAAAAAAAACAAAAAAAACATCTTCCAGAATTAAAATTATTCTATGTACACTCCTGGGATATTCTATGTACACCGTTTTTTTTTTCCAATTCTGGAAGATGCCCCAAAACCTGTTTTTCAAAATTCTGTATTCTATGTTCTCGTACTTTCTTTTATATATATTAGATGTCTATTAGATGTATAAAGGTGTTAAACATGTATAATATACATGTATCTAGATGCACAACGATGCATATAGATGTATATAGTAGTTATATGTAGTATTATGCAACTATAAAATGGCAATAATGTCATATCATCCTTACCACAAAGTACGATTATCATTGTATAACAGGCAGGCCGCCTGCAGGTAGTAAGTTGTTTTGGTTTCTTATATTATGCCTATTGTTGTAGCAGTGACCTGAATCACTATTTGCCATTTTATAATGTTTCAAAAGCTTATTGCATGCGTGCAAGATTCATGTTTGTTTTTATTGAATATCCATTATATAAGGTACACTTACTTTGCAAATCTTTGCAATATAAACAATTTCTTTTGATAATTACAGGTTTTACCAGCACAAACTGAGAAAAACATACCCGGAGAATCCCGGAGAAATCAGGTTTGCACAGTTTTTGTTCTTATAAGATGCCCTGGAGGTGCCTTATAGAATGACAGTTTGTCACTTTCAGTATAAATCTCTGATAATTTGTGGAATTTCCACTCCCACCTTATAAAATGTATATCGGGTAATCACCAAAAAAGTAAATTGTCTGGGCCACGATCTATAAGCCGTTTTTTTGGACTCTGGTCTGTCATATTATAATGCGTTTTTTCTTATAAAATGCTAATTGGAGTTCCCTATATTGCTTCTCCTGAATTATATGCATTCTATAAGGAATTTTTCCCGTGGAACTCCCATTTCATAAGGAATTTCTTATAAAATGGCGCCCCCCGGGTTCAACTTAATATTATAAGGGGGATGATCAGGGTATGCTCTTTGGGGCGCGGCATTTTTGCGGTAAATTCGCATAAAAGTGCCCTTGTGCATCCTTGTGCGATGTCCACATTTCGACTGCGCAGGCTCGCACAAAGTCTGCGCCGCGGGGTTGTCAAGGTCTTGGTGTGGGGCATTTTCATTGTAAATTCTCGCATCAACGGCCTCTTCTGAGATGTTCATGTGCATTTCGACTGCCTACGACGTCCAGGTCGTGCCCACGGGCCTCTGCCAATTGCGGAAGAGGTACGAACAGTAGGCGGCACAATCTCCCATGCTCGCAATGTACCATTGTAGAAGCCAGTTTGGCAGTGCAGGCGTTGGACCCAAAAAACATTTTCCAAAAATCGCTGCGCAAGCTGGTCCACCCTGACACTGAGGACCCCAGTAAAGTTGGCACTGTCACGACAAAGCAGCAGCAATAACAACGCATGCAAGCAAGTAAGCAGCAAGTAATATGGTCCCAACCAAACAAAGGACCAGCACAACAGACCTTCTAGAAGCAATGGCAGCGCACTGCCAATGACCAACAGCAGTCCCCAGCCATACAACGACCAGAGGTGGGTTACTATTGGGCATGGTGGGGGACACAAACACAACAACTACACCACAACACCCACACACAGTTTCATCACCCCGGAATGGGACAAGGCCCCAACTATGATGACAGCAGAAGAGGCCACCCAGGACATCACGGAAGTTACCTGGCAGCAATATGAAGACCGACAAGATGCTATCCAGGCCTTTGACCCCACGAGTCCTTTGACTCTTTTCTGGCGTGGCCCGTACATCCTCGACAAAGACAAGCAAACAACGGTATGGGTTCGTTGTCGCAACTCGCCCTGCAATCTTGCGATGGTGGATCTCAGCCAAAACCACCGACGAAGGCAACAATAGCTTCCGAAGCTGCAGCAAAAACACCAATCCGGATCACAGCGCCAGAGTGCCACCGATCCATTCGCAGTCCAGACACTCACCAAGTAAAGTCATCGCAGATATCCAACAATGGCAGATCAATGGCCTAACTGTCAGTTCCGTCACTGGCGGCAGTTGGGCGCGACAATGGGGAAAGAAGGGCGTGGCGCAAACACTCCTTGCACAAAGCGGTCGCACCGCAATTTTCTTCATTCAAACTGGAGAAAGCAAGTCTCTTGGATGCTTAAGGAAAGAGGTGAGTCCGACGAGACATATTACAGAAGGACCCAGCAGCAAGCCGGCACCACCCCAATCCGCTATCGCAAGTGATTTGGGCATTGACCAAACTACCACAAGTGATGCCCTGTAAAGGTGCCATGAAGCTAGCTGGTGCACCAGTTATGTGGGACGAGAGAGATTTCACCAACTTCCTCACAACTCAGCAGTGGACAGATCTGAAGATCAACCACCGCAGCAAAGCCAGCCAGCAAGAAGCAGCTCCGTTCTTCACAGGCATTTCGCCGAACAAAGCAGATCAAATGGAAATTTACGAAGATGGCCTTCACACCATCTTGATTTCCACCGCCTTCTTTGAAGGGCGCAAGCAGCTTCCATGAAATATTTGTCGAGCCCTCGGGAAAAAGTGGGGCGACAGCAGTGCCATTCCAAAGGAAGAAAAACATTGGAGGAGCAGCAACAGCAAACTGCCAAAAAGCAAAAGTTTGAGCCAGCAAACAACGCACAAGCGAATGACGGCAAAGAGTCCGAGGTTCCAGCCACCATTTTCGATTCACAGCCAAGCCAGGGCGAGAAAACGCAATCTGCTACAAAGGACGATGAAAAGCAGCAGCAACCGACTTCTTGCCTAGTAAGTGGCCAGAGAACATCACACAATCCAAGAAGCAAGGTTGGTCAGAGAAAGATGCAAGAGGAGATGGGATTGCTTTCTCCGATCCTTTGTTATAGCAGATGGTTGTGCCAGAGGCAAAGAAGACAATGAGGAAAATATTTTGTCCCTTGCCAGCGACCTCAGGCCCCAAGCAGTGAAACACATGAAAGCTCACGGCGCAGACTTTGAGCCGTTCTACCCGCAGGACAGAATTGAAAAATTCTACGAACGTGCAGGCCTTGCTGCACCAAAGGAATTCGAGGATCTCTTGTCCCAGGCTGCTCAGAGGAAGTACTGGGCCAACAATTTTGTTATTCAAACTGCAGCCAACCGCACCGGGATTCCCATTGTGATTTGGTCGCTGGAAGAAGGCAAAAAAGATCAAAAAAGACCCTAATGATAAACATTACGAGATCAGAAATGTCTGGTATAGAGGCACTTTTGCGCCAAAATACGAAGATGGTTTTGCGAAGGCAAAGGTGGACCACCCTGGTGTTGTTTTAGTGCTCCGCAAAAATCACTACAAAGCAGTGCTCCCGCCAAAGGAAAATAAAAGCATCCCTAGACCGTCGATGCGTGAAACCGCCAACATCCGCCAAAAAAATTGAATACATAGGTGGTACTGACGCCAACCAGCAACTCCGCACACCACAGAACAAAAGAAAGTGTGCAGAAGCTACTAGCAAGAAGGGCAGATCCGAAACACCCCGTTGGGAAACACTCCGCACACGCCAATTTCAAGCAGAAAGAAGTGTTGCAAGATGGGGTGACGCCACTCTGCGCACCGCATGCCATACTGCAAGCCCCCAATCCCACAGATGGGGCTGACACTCCTAGAACTCCCACGCCTGCATTACATGTCCTGATACGAGGTTCTGGTATGAGGTCCTACGAGTAGACATGGCGTTGCTTCTTGTGCCAAAACAAGTTCCTTCCACTGCAATCACAATAATGTCTGGCCTGAATCTAGCACATTGCTACTGTTCCATAGCTACTTTTTCCTGCGTCTAGTTCATTGCCTTCCTACCCCCCACACTGTTCGGGGCCTCTTGCCAGTGTAATATTTTTGTATTGGGTTTTTGAATGCCGTTGGGAAGGCAACATAAGAAACACGGACTTCCATTTTGTCGTCAGCCAATGCTGCCAGGCTTGATGCTGACACAGGTCCTTTCTGGGCTCTTTGCATCAGCTGTGGCTCCAGTCTCCCAAAGCTTAGTGAGTGAAAGTGTGCAGGAGCCTGTGCTGGGAATGCGGTATGTAAACTGCCAACGCACGTGCAGAACACACATGCACATCATATGTTACACACATTACACGCATATGTTTTGGTGGGTGGAAAATGCATACAATATACACACACATTCATGTAGCATTGTATACATGTGACATGCGTGTGTGACCCGCGTGACGTGCGTGGCGTGCGTGACGTGCATGATGTGCGTGACTTGCGTGTCGTGTGTGACGCGCGTATATACATTCATGCAGTTTCATTCATGCATACCTATAGACATACCAACACACCGAAGTACTTACAGTAGGGAACTACATACCCACAATAATCTAAATGGCATCATATTAAACGCAACTAACTGGAGCTGCTTCACCATGTTTCACCTTGAGGACGAGGCACCTTGTCCTGAAGTAGTGGCAGTTGTGTGTCCATAGCAATAGAGAGCACCTTTGAGGAGACAAGCAGAGGTTTTGCCTTCTCCATTCTGGCAATGTGTGCAGGCGTGACATGGTCATGGCATGGCCTGCAACTAATCCGAAGGTATTGCGGAAATTGGAAGGCCTCACATGTTCAAGCGAAAGTCTGACTCTGCCTTTAAATTTGCCAGGACCAACAATTTAAAACGGCATGGCATTGTGCTTCATTGACCATCGTTTCACCGACTTGAAAACTCTGCCGGAAGGTTTTGGCGGTTCGGCCTCTGCATTTCTATATGGTTTGTTTAGTTGGCAGGTTGCATACCGCACCTTGGCGCTTTCAAGTTTTTGAAATAATATAAATAATGTTTCCAGTGGAAAACCTATTAAATGTACGATGGATGGATGAGCCCTCTTGATGATTGTGAGTCAGAACGGATGTTCATTTTTCAAAACATTGCAGCGTGTCAAAGTGTTTGTCTAAATTGGTTTGCGCCATTACGGCCAAGCAGTAGTAGATGTTAAGGCATGATGGGAGGCCTCACGCTGACGCAACGCAGCTGAACTATGTTGAAATTTGAGGACTTGAGGATCCCATAGGTTGTACTCGAAATTGACCTCCCAATGCCAGATTGGCACCATATATTGTTCAGTCAGGGTGGTTTGCAGAGTAGTGTCCCTCTCCAACTTCCTTACTTGTCCTAGTGCTTCGTTACTTATTTCCAATTACAACATCAAAGGCACACAGACAGACATGCACAAACATGGGTGAAGTGGGCGTATAATAGGAGCATAGTGCCAAGTATTGCAGATAGACAGATAGACGGACAGATCCGTATAAATATATAAGTGCTTGTAATTATATTTGTTTCTTTGCTTGGAACTTGTGGAGAGCAAGTAATGTGTTGACGATATAGTTGCCAAAATGGCTATGCCATTTTGGCTCAAGTCCTCCCCTTGTGATCTAAGCACTCGAAAAAATCCGTTTTCCATTCGACTATGGCGTCTTCGAGCCCAATGGCGAGTGAGACGGGCACTGTTGCTTCTTTTCTTTGGTGGGAACGGACGTGGCTGAAGGGGAGGACTACATGCTACTTAACCTTCCAACAACTGAGGCTGCACCGGCCGAAGTTGAGATGGAGTTTGAATGTGACCCTGACCCAGCCATCACCAAGGAGACCCTGGCCAACCAGCTTAAAGAGACGAGAAGGTGATGGCAGAGCTGGGACTGGAGCCAAAGCCTGAGGTGAGTGTGGCAGCTTCTGGCGCCAAAGCCCCCCCAGGTTTCGTTCAATCGGCAGAACAAGCCTCCATGGCGACCATGCGGACTCTTGAGAAGGAGACGCTGACAACCCAGGTGGACCAGAGCACAAACACCGGCTGGGAATCTTTGTTGAATGGCGAAGACCTTGGAGGTCTACTGCATCGCCAAACGGGCTGCGAAGCACAACGAGCTGCTGAAGGTGTGCCACACAGTCCAACGAGGTGGTTCCATCACACAGTTGCAAGAGGAGGACCCGGGGGCAGCCCCAAAACTGGTTTGCTCTGATTGTAATGCACCATGGGGAACTTTTCCCAAGTGTCTTCTTTGCAAGGGCTCTTCTCCCATTGACCTGAGCTCCACCCCGCTCTCGGTCATCGCAGTGGAAGGACAGAACTGGCAACTAAGGCTCACTGAGGCTGGACCAGCTGGGGTGTTGGCAGATGCTAAGGTCACTAAGGATTCTGGCTTTGTGGAAGTGGGAGACTTGGGTCGCCCCCACTGGCAGCAGTCTCTGGCGCTGGCCGGAGCAATTGGATTTTGGGTTCCTCAAGACAAGCTACCTATCGAGAGGGAGGAGTCCCTGATGCAAGTCAGATTGGCATGTTTGTGGGCATGCCGCCGTGTTTATATGCCGTACTCAACTCGAACTGTCAGCTCCAATTGGCATGTTTGCTGGTGTGCCGCCATGCTTACAGTATATGATGACATGCTCCAAATTGTGTGCGCTGGCAGGTTGGATCGGCATGTTTGCAGTCTGGCTGAATTTGGATTGGCATGCGTGCAGTACTGCTGCCATGTTCTTACGGCTTGTTTTTAAGACTTAACTTCAGCTGTCAGGTCAGATATTGGCATGTTTGTGGGCATGCCGCCATGTGGAGATGCCTTGCTCAACCTGGGACCTGTCAGGTTAGACCGGCTTGTTTGCGGTCTCCCCCCTGTATTGTGATGAGTTCCAAACATAGCTTCGAACTGTCAGTTCAGATTGGCATGTTTGCTGGTGTGCCGCCATGTTTATTTGACATGGTCCAAACAGTAGACTCTTAGGGGGGATCGGCATGTTTGCAGTTTTTCTGCAGGGTTCGTATGGCATGTTTTTCAACCTGAACTTCGCACTGTCAGGTCTGATTGGCATGTTTGTTGGTGTGCCGCCATGTCTATATGACAGTGCGTGAAACTGTGAGCTTTCAGGTCAGATTGGCATGTTTGTTGACGTGCCGCCATGTTTATTTGACACTTCCAACTGTGAGATGTCAGGGTGGATTGGCACTTTTGCCACCCTGTCGCCTGACGGAATCGGGCTTTAATACTAGGCTAGGCCATTACGAGATGGAGGAGGCAAGCCGTCTGCGGCCAGGCGGCCTCCAAATCTGATGCCTGTAACGGGGGGCATCCCTGGCAGCCTTCAACAGAGCACACTCCCGAACAGTGCCCCCCGACTGTTGACTCCTGGAGATGAGGTAGTCTTGGCAGACGGGAGGAAGTGAGTACAAACAAGGCCTCAGCTGGGGGGCGCTCCCCACCTGACGGACCATCACCACGAGAAGATTTTCACAGGACAGCACGGGGGGCCTCCTCGCACAGGTGGTCGCTCGTGGATTCCAGGCTTCTGGAGTGACTGGTATTGATTAGGGAACCCACTGCCGAGCTGCAGGGGTTGTTCTTGCTGCCCCTGTACATGGGCCCCCAGGACCTGTCAGGACACAGGGCACTGGACCAGGTCCTTGCCCGTATACGGCCCAATGTACAAAGAGGGAGACCAGGACATCCTTGACGATGCCTTATTTTCACAACTCTGTGTCACTGCCGGGGCCAATGGCAGTTTGTTGGGGGTGGCCCAAACTGTCCTCTCAGATGGTTTCCGAAACCAGGTGCTCTGGGGACGCGCTTCCTCAGAGCCTGGCAGCTTGAGACAAATTCTCTCGAGACTCGGACTGAGCAATCCGGATTTGGAGGGCCTCCGGAAGACCAATGAGTTGGCTGCAGCCAGAGTCCAGCCTGACTGAGGTAGGGATTTTGGCAGGAATTGCTACGGGGGATTGTGGCCCGGTAGCATCTGGCACCGTTGTCATTCTTCTTCGGACAAACACCTATTTGACAGGGAGACCAGGACTTCCTTGACGATGTCTTATTTTCACAACTCTGTGTCACTGCCTGGGCCAATGGCAGTCTGTTGGGGGTGGCCCAAACTGTCCTCTCAGATGGTTTCCGAAACCAGGTGCTCTGGGGACGCACTTCCTCAGAGCCCGGCGGCTTGAGACAAATTCTCTAGAAGAACAACTTGACTCGGACTGAGCAATCCGGATTTGGAGGGCCTCCGGAAGATCAATGAGTTGGTTGCAGCCAGAGTCCAGCCTGCCTGAGGTAGGGATTTTGCCAGGAATTGCTATGGGGGATTGTGGCCCGGTAGCATCTGGCACCGTAGTCATTCTCCTTCGGACAAACACCTGTTGGACAGGGAGACCAGGACTTCCTTGACGATGTCTTACTTTTTCACAACTCTGTGTCACTGCCTGGGCCAATGGCAGTCTGTTGGGGGTTGCCCAAACTGTCCTCTCAGATGGTTTCCAAAACCAGGTGCTCTGGGGACGCGTTTCCTCAGAGCCTGGCGGCTTGAGACAAATTCTCTAGAAGAACAACTTGACTCGGACTGAGCAATCCGGATTTGGAGGGCCTCCGGAAGATCAATGAGTTGGCTGCAGCCAGAGTCCAGCCTGCCTGAGGTAGGGATTTTGCCCGGAATTGCTATGGGGGATTGTGGCCCGGTAGCATCTGGCACCGTAGTCATTCTCCTTCGGACAAACACCTGTTGGACAGGGAGACCAGGACTTCCTTGACGATGTCTTACTTTTTCACAACTCTGTGTCACTGCCTGGGCCAATGGCAGTCTGTTGGGGGTTGCCCAAACTGTCCTCTCAGATGGTTTCCAAAACCAGGTGCTCTGGGGACGCGTTTCCTCAGAGCCTGGCGGCTTGAGACAAATTCTCTAGAAGAACAACTTGACTCGGACTGAGCAATCCGGATTTGGAGGGCCTCCGGAAGATCAATGAGTTGGCTGCAGCCAGAGTCCAGCCTGCCTGAGGTAGGGATTTTGCCCGGAATTGCTATGGGGGATTGTGGCCCGGTAGCATCTGGCACCGTAGTCATTCTCCTTCGGACAAACACCTGTTGGACAGGGAGACCAGGACTTCCTTGACGATGTCTTACTTTTTCACAACTCTGTGTCACTGCCTGGGCCAATGGCAGTCTGTTGGGGGTTGCCCAAACTGTCCTCTCAGATGGTTTCCAAAACCAGGTGCTCTGGGGACGCGTTTCCTCAGAGCCTGGCGGCTTGAGACAACGGACAGGGATAGCCTTCTGCTGCTCAGACAGATGGTAATCACAGCCCTGGCGCATCAGGCCAGCGGCCAGCAGGTGGTTCATTCCGTTTTGGAACACCAAAAGGACCCACTGGATTGCAGCCTGGTGCCGGCCGCCGGCCGCTACAAAGTGCTCATCCATCTATTTGGACTACAGAAGTATATGCGCAAGGGGCCTTGACCCTGAATCACCACCAGACCCTAGCAGGTACCCAGAGGAAATGATGACGGGCCTGGCCCAGGCAATCGGCACTAGTTTGATCCCAGAGCACCACATATCCACACAGGGAAAGGACTGACAGATCCTCCTCGGTGTCCCTTCCACAAGCAATGACCATGGCTGTTGGCCCCATCATTGTCCAATCGGGCTTCAAGACCAGACCTCGGGGATGGGAAACCATCCCCAGGCCGGGCCACCACCTTTGCGCTCAACCTCAAGATTGGCAACCTTGGGCATCTGATAGCTCCCTTGGCAACGCCCTGTGCTCAGGGGTCCAACAGTCCACCAACCGGGGGGAACGCAAACACAGCATTCCCTAACGGAGGCCATCCGGTTAAACATCCATGAGGAAGAAGCGGTGGCGGAGGCCAACCCTTCCACTTGCAGTTGATCACTGCACTGGCGGCATATGTGGATGACATCGAGAACGTGGCATCCTCAGGTGTGCCTTTGGGAATTTCCTACCTGGACCTCGCCAGGAATCTGGTCTACAAAAGAGGAACTCCAGGGCGAGGCCCCAAGACTTGGTTTGGCGGTTTTCTTGATCAGACCTGCTGGATGATGCATAGCACCCTGCCTATGCCCTCTACGACTTTACTTTTGAGCACTACTTGTTTGTTTTCCACCACGTCCAATCCCTTGCTTTGGTTGGCACTGGTGGCCTTTTAGCTTGTGTGGCCTGCTGCCACCTTTGAACTGAGACGATGGACA